AAAAAAAAAAAAAAAAAAAAAAAAAAAAAAAAAAAAAAAAAAAAGAAAAAGTAAAAGAAAAAGAAAATTACTGAGCCATAGGATAAAAAGAAATATTAAAATGTGAAAAATAAATCCTGGGACTAGTGAAAGAAGAAGTTGTCTTTTTATTATCATTCCTCTTTGGGTCACATGTGGGGCCATTTGGAGAACTTAGAAGACATAGTGGAGCAGGGCAAATTGATTATAAAAAAATGGGACTGTGCATGAAATAAAACCCATGTCACTTGGGAACCATCAGTGTCTTTATCACTACTTACAACACAACAGCACAGCTTAGACTAGTTTATGTTTTACAACCTCAAGACAGTGTTCTTCAAAGGTTTGCATGGTATCTGCAAAGCCATAACCAAGTGCCATGTTGCCGCTCTTTGCCAGGATTTTCAGGATTTAACAGGGATCATTTGAGGTGGAAGCAGAGTTTTTTTTCTTTTTTCTTTTCCTTTTTTGTACTTTAGATTGTTTGGATAAACTTACAGGTCAATTGTTAACTATATTAAAAAACAGAATGAATATTTTATGATTTTTACTTGTTAAAGGCTCCAGCATGAACATATTGTTTTATAAAAATCTGCTCTGGGTTGCCTAGCATAAAAGATTATTTGCTTCCGGGAACAATTCTAGGAATACAGGTTTGTTTAGGCAAAATAACAAAAGCACTACAATGCCTACTATTTCCAGGAAGGGTATTTTTGCAATTGCCCTCACATATCTTTCCTATCTCTTTGCAAAGTACAGAGATTAAGGCAAATTAGAAGAAAAAATTTCTAGACTATTTTAGAATATTAAAGTAAATGATTTACGAAACTTAAAACACACTACAGTAGAACAAGATATCAGAGATCAGTATTCGATGCCTGATTTTGCCACTTAAATCAGCTCCGTTACTTTAGGCAGATTCATTTGTTAACATGTGCAAAATATTTAGCACGATGCCTCCAATAATCAGTAGAAACTTAATAAATATCATTTGAAAATTTTGGACCTCAAGATCTCTAAATTCTTAAAGTGATATCATACATAATGTTTACCTGGGTAAGTCAACTAATACTTCATTGTATTCCACTGTCATATTCAATAAAGAAAACACATAGTTTTTCAAAAAGCATAAGCCACTAAATTGTGTTGAGTGGAATAAAGTAAGTTTTACTTGTTCGTGATTATTTCTTTTGATGTTCACCAAAACAGCTCTTGCTTAGTTTCGTGAGCAAGTTTGGCTGAAACAAAAACTTTAATCCAATTTGGCAGAAGACTGATTCTTATCAAGCGAACAAAACATGAAACCAAACCTTCTTACCAAACCTAACAGCCATATCACAATTATAAAGACACACTGGAATAAGAAAAAATCTTTTAACATGCTCTATTATTCATTACTTTACATAATTTTGAATCTAAAGGGATTTGTGTATTCAAACTATAATCAGCTTTGATAAACAGTCAAATGAGAGATCAAAGAAAGCACATTAGAGTACACATTACAATTCCTGATGTAGAGTCAACAATTCAAAGAACTGAACAGATTTCCTTTGTATAGCAATCTTAGGAAAAAGCTTCTGAAAACTTGGGGTGCAATTCCATTTTATGGAAAAACAGAGATACCCTTTTCCAACATGCTGCTTGCATAAACACACCATTAATATTTTGTTGTCACAATTTTGTTTTTTTTTTAATTTGAGACAGGGTCTCACTTTGTCACCCAGGCTGGAGTGCAGTGGTACAACATGGCTTATTGCAACTTGCAATTCCTCCTGCCTCAGCCTTCCAAGTAGCTGGGATTACAGTGTGTGACACCATGCCTAGCTAAATTTTTAAATCTACTTTTCGTAGAGATAAGGGTCTCGCTATGTTGCCCAGCGTGGTCTCAAACTCTGAGGCTCAAGGGATCCTTCCTTCTTGGCCTTTCCAAGTGTTGCGATTACAGGCGTGAGCCACCATGCTCGGCCAATAATTCTTTTAAATGTACTTATGATGTTAACTTAGTGACAACTGCAGGATGAGGTTGCTTTACATAATCAGGACGAACCTTCGAAAACCAAAATAAAATGTAATTCAATCAGTGAAAATTAAGATATCATTTGGAATAAAATAATTCTGCCATTCCTTTATGGAGCAAGCAAGCCAATCACACGCAGTGACCCCAATCAGACCAGTTGAGCATTTCAGTTTAGAAACCACTTTGATGGGCTATGTGCTGCATCGTTAAATGCACAGATTTTCAAACATGACTTTGCTGAAGGTAACCCAGATAATAAGTTGTTTTTTATTTACAACAACTTATTGTTATTTTATTTCCTGGTGTATTGTTTTCCAGAAATACAAAAATTATTTTCAGATAATTTCTAATGACATAGATGGTTTTGCAGTTTTGAAAGCCAGTGTAACTTTTAGCAGCAGTTTCTCACGTATTGATAATCAATTATTAATAAATTTCACTTAAATAAAGTATGCCAAGTAAATTGCATAAAAGACATACAAAATATTTCAATCTTCTACTACAAGATTCCCAACTTTTTGGCGTATACACCTCATCCCTTTTTGACATATCAAATGATCAGGATGGTAGATTTCTGGTCATTCATAATCAAGATAATCATGGGGCAGCTAAAGCAGCATTTAAAATAGACAAATAGGCACAAGGTTTAGTTGATGATCTTCATATTGTCATCAAATCACTGAGCTTTCTGTCCTACTGTCTACCAGAAACTCTTGACCACTTTTGACAGAAGCATTTTTATGACACCTAATGGACATTATTGCCCAAGAGGATCCCAGATCTCTGAGAGCAATCACCTCTCCTCCACCTTGTACCATACAAGCTACACGTTTTCCTAAATGCTTATACTTTGCAAGGTCTTTCTCCCATCTGCCTCTCATTTGCAAATCTCACAAGGGTCAGTGTTTGGAGCTAGAAGATGAGTTTTAGACTGGGAAACCTGGGTTTGAATTGTAGTGCAACCACTGAATTGCAGATTTTAATAACTTCAAATAAATGCTTCTTTGATGTAATAATTTTTATTCATCATTAAAACAGGGTAATAATTTCTTTTTCTTTGAGTTGTGTCTTGATTTAATAGGATAATGTATAAATCACCTGGTGACTATTCACACTCTTCATGTCTTTCCTTTATATCCACATCAGTATTACTACAAAATAGGATGGAGATGTGCTGCTTGCAATATGTGAAAAGTCTTCCATTGTAGGAATCTCACATATTTTCTTGTTAATTTTTCTATACAGTTTCCAGATGCTGAATTAAAAATATACTTTGCTAAAATAAGGTTGTCCTTTTACAGCAACAGAGAAATTATGGCCTAAGACCTTATAAAACCATGGGATAGCTTTAAAGTATATTTAATAGCTTTTATTTTTACTTAATTTGTGTGTATAGTTGTTTTAATTGGCCTAGAATGGAGAAGACCAATGCTGACAGTTTAAGCAGAGGCCAATAGCGCCTTAGACCCTTCTCCACTTTTTAAAGGCATAGCAGTAAATAAAATTGCACAAGGGATAATATTTTAGGTGAATTTAGTGTGAACCTGATGAAATCTAAAAGATAGAATGACTTTAAAAAAATATTCAATTCTCTTCTAAAGCTGACCTTTTTATTCCAAACATTCTATGGGCAATTATTCATAGCTTGATGTTTGAGATCCACTGCCAAGAAAATGTTCTGAGATAGAGTATACTGGAAACAGAATTAGTAGCAAAGTAAAGTACGAATCAAGATTGTAAAATAAAGCAATCCATTCTCTACTGACACTGGAGGAAAGGGACAGGATGATGTAGATCAGGAAAAAAAGGCAATAATGAA